TTTAAATGGGAATGCCAAGATTGAAATTAAGAAAAAGACCTTGGAAGATTCACAATTTGTTTCCAGCTTGAGGGTGTCTCGGCCACCACTTTTTCCCTCCTGGAAGACACTTAATGCATGGGACAAACTTCCCATAGCAGACATGGAATAAATACACGGAGCAAAAATGTACTTTGGGGGGGGGTGAGGAATGTATGATGCTACAATAATAGAAATATTAGAATCTATACCTTTTGGATGAGATAATGAGCTTTGAATTTCTATATTCTGGATCTCTGTTATTCATCAAATGGAATGATATTGCAGACACTACTATTTCCTCAATGTAGTTACTCAAAACCATTGTATCTGCTTGACATATTGACCCTAAATCCTCGCATTCAAGGTCGTTTGCCGCAAGGACCTCAGCAATGTGATTTCGATTATCCAGAAACTGGATTGTCTTCATATCCTTTTCCAATTGGGCTTTCCAGCTTATAAGATGAGTCTCATCTTCAGGTGGCCTAATCTCAATGTTGTAGGGGAATAACACACTGAATCTCTCATCAATTTCTCCGCTCTCATCAAAATGTTCTATTACCCGTGATCCAAGAACCAACACTGATCCTGATAATTTCTTTATCATTCTGTGAAAAAGGTTGAAAACTCGGGGAGACTGAAGGTGTCTATCTACATCCCTCATGTAGAGGATAATGCAGTTAGTTTCAGAAACAGACATCAAAACCTGCAGTCAACTATTGCTTTGTCAAATGTCAATGAGCCGATCATTATAAAAGCATGTAACAAAACATGATAAAATATTATGTCAAAAAAAAATCAAGGTTCCATTACCTTGTAAAGTGACTTCAAGAAAGTTTTTTCGTCAAAAGACCAACTGCTTACGCGTTTGGGAGGAGCTAGTTATACAACAAGATAGCAAGAAAGTGTTTCAATAATCTGATATCCACAATTGTTCAACTAAATGAAAATATTATAAGCATTCTGATGCCTTTTACCCTCTTTCTTTATAAGAATAATCGATATGGGATAAAAGAAATGGAAGTAAACTAATGATAAGGATGATGATGCATATGATGCTAACTGTGATATGATGTAATAAAAATTAGTACAGCCACAGTAATCTTGATATGTAACTCCAAAACTTGACAAATGTTTGCAGTACTGATGTAAGCTCAGTAAATCCCCTTTGCCAGATCCGTAGAAACATGAAGTAATGTTACTAATGTAGCACAAAAACCATAAATCAGCATAACAAGCCAGAACTGAAACAGTGAACATTAAAATACGTAGTAGTTTTAATTGAGTACGGTCTCCGTTCTCTTGTATCTTGGCTTTCGATTATTTGTTTTTGTTTTCTAGTAACTGTCGCTTTAGGATTCTAGGAAAGCATTACTTGATCATTTTCCACTACCGTCCATCCATTAAAGATACAAATGAATTAAAACGTTAATAGGGGTTTATAGTCATGTTCGCTACTTTTGTCTTTATTTTAATTAAAACATCTTGATATGTGTGCAATAATGGGAACACTTAAGAAATATATGAAAAACCGAGGGAGTAGTAAATATTGAATCCTAAGGTGAAGAAGATGACATATACACTAAAACATTTCTGATGCTGTTTATAAAACATCTGAACTTCATACTTATGCTTCACAACTAATGCTGCACAGTCGTTTTATTAAATGTTCCTTGACATCCAAACCTGAACTTGAAATAGAGGACTGTGAGGAGATACTGCTCATATCTGATGAGATAGATGAATTTCTGCGATGCTTAAGAGGAACGCTCACGCCTTCACTGTTACGATGAAGTCCGGGTCAAAAGTCAGAATTGATATCAATCACAATTACTTTGTGGGATCACTATGGAAACAAAGGATTACCTTAATTTAGCATCAATACTGGGGCGCCTCGACAATCTGCCTGGATGGTGATAACTAAAAAATCAATCATGCCAACATCTCACAAAGGTATTTGGAAGAAATAGTTACAAGGCTTTATATACCTTTATTATATTCTTGCGCAGGTAGAGATGAGAGAGACCCAAGTAAACTGGACATGTGCTCCAATGTCACCTCTGATATGGACCTCTTTAATGGCTACACAATGAAAATGAAGGTTAGGTCGACTCCAATATAGACAAAAGGGCCTCATTTGCATGTGGTAGAATAAGCAATAACATGTTAATATCTCAATAAAATAATTCTTTACAGTATAAATCATATTTATGTTGAGACATCATCTCTAATTGGAAAAGAAGATACATGATCCTTAAAAATAGACTATTGATAAAATTTTCCTAAAGTAAAAAAGTGCTTACGGGCTGTTTCTTGGCATTTCCATATTTGCTCTGCATCTACAGATGATCGGCCCATAAAATAAAATTAGTTCACCAATATACAGAATGTATTTTTTAAAGAACACTTCATTTCCTAAATAATCACCTTTACTGAAAAGTTAGTTATATCCAAAAGTAAGAGTTTTGCTTCAAAGTGATGAGCAACAGCCTTTGCAAGTGATTGCAAGTGAAGTTCTGCCATATTCAATCAAGATCAGTAAATGGGAAAGAGACATGCTTGAAAAATAATAGTTGCTTGTGAAAAATGAAATTGACAGGTTTTCATGCACATTCATACCAGCAGGCCCAGACAGCAATATAGCCCTACTCGCTGGTGATAGATTTCTAGTATGTCGAGACATATCTAAGTGGTTTAGATGAACATATGCTGCACTTGTCAATAACACTCGTGTCCGTTCACTGCCAAAGTCATCAAGATTAAAGAACAAGTTGAGAAAGAAACCAAAAACTTTAGAAATAATAATTGTAAGCCGACTCAAAACAGTTTCTTTGGAAATAATAGTATATCCCAGAGAAGGCAGAAATTATAGGAAATTTATAATTTTGAATTTTAAGTACAATAACAGCATTATCTCAACTAAACTCAAAACACTACAAAATGTTTGGTTTTTTATCATACCATAAATGGTTACAGATTAATTAAACATATATACTTGGGATTCATTTTCCAACCGAAAAGCTTTAAGATAACCAGAAAACTTCAAGATATGTTTTGTTTAAGTTCATCTTATACCAGCAATTTTATTGCTTGCGCCATTTCTTTCCCCAATAATTCAAAATGCGCGGGGGGATTGGGGTGAAAAGGAGAAACAGTTCTGAATTGTAAGCAAATAAAGTCAGAAGGAATTCCACAATGACTGCTTATGAGGGCTCGGCAGCACAAAATCCAACATTTCCTATGCTAACATATCAAAATGTATAAGCCCGCCCCTCAATGAGCATAACAGAAATCGCGAAATCGCTGAAGAAATTAATAAAGATAATGTAAGGAAAATAGAAGATTTCTAGCCACTTTCGCGCCAATTGACCGTCATGAACGGTCCCCGGTTTTACATGGGTGAACCCGTGAATGCTTACTTACTTATTATGACGCAGTACTGAACACAAAATTAGTTACTACCTGAGATAATAAGGGAAGTTTTGAAACGAAACATCGGAGCCCTTGCCGTCAACGATCAGTCGCCGGAGTTCCTGCTCGATTCGATCGGCCGTAACGCCCTCCGGTGCAGAACTGTTGGCGCCACCGCCGGTCCATTTGTTAAGGGCCTGCCCAGACGCCAATCCCAGCCCCACACCGACCCCAACGCCCAATGCCGACATGAACAAGTGCTTCTGCTCCATGATTATTGTTGTTATGAATTTGGGAATTCACAAAAACGAAGACACATATGTACGGGACAAAGTAATAACAGAGCAAAATCCAGACGAAGATGGAAAGGGAGAATTGGAATGTGGGGAAAAGAAGAAAAGTTGCGAGTTGGGTGATGCGTAGATGAGAGCCAGAGGGCGTGAGCGCGAAGTGCGTATGTCCCAATGAGACGTTAGCGCCATATAACTGCTCAGCACTTCCGCCATTTCAGGCTCTTTGTTCTAATTTCTGTGAATTCAAATTGTACATTTAAATTTAAAGGTGTTTGAATCTAATTCTTAAAATTGCTTCTGTTCTCTAAATGAGTAGAAGTGATTCTGGTGCTCTAATTTACTTTTCAAATCAGCTTTTTAGAAGTTAGGGGAGACCAGTTTCTGAAAACTGATTCTGATTCTGCTTCATCTTTAAAAAAGAAGCAGAAGCAGAATCAATTCCAAATACCCTCTAAATCCAAATCGAATTTATATTGGGAGATGTTAGCGCCCTATAAATTGCCCTGTTTGTTGCGTAGTTATTTTCAAAAATTCATTTGGCTGTCTTCCCGATTGATTTTTTAGCTAAAATTTGGTATGAGTAAACTAAACTTAATGAATAAGATGTTTAAAAATTTTCATCAATAAATTCCACCGGAAACCGCCCCAAATTGCCACGGCCGGGCAGAGCCTCCTATATAAGGGGTGATTTGCACTTTTTATGTAAGTTCGAGGGCTTATTTGGTAGTTCTCCCAATTTATATTCGTTTCATAATAAACGTTTCATTTATGTTCCTTTTTTGACAAGGAAATGTGAAAATGCAAAGAAAAAGTGCCCTAAATAGAAATAAATAGATTTTAAAATTACAAAACAGGACTATTGTGTTTTTGTTCTCAAAATAACAGTCGTAACTGTCATGATTGAAAAATACTGGTTATTGTCATGTTAATGTCTAATACTTAAACTATTTGGCAATATTAATTCCAAGATGACAATAAATACCACCACATTTGGTCTAATTTCGGAAAGATAAGCATAATAGTCATATTTTAGAATTTCAAAAACTTTTTACTCATATTTCGAGAACATTCCCAAATTCAAACTATATGACTAATAAATATTTATAAGAAAAAAATGTTTGACATTACAAGAAAAAAACTACTTCATTTGTTCCTTACAAATTTGAACTTTCTTTTTCTAGTAATTCCAAAAAACTTGTCACTTACTTTTTTTAATAAATGAATTTGGGATTCCTTTTATTTCACTCTCTTATGCACAAACCTTAATTACACAAGATATGATGTCACAATTCCTTTATTTGAAACTTATGAATTTAACTCTAGTCTACCAAAATACGTAGTACAAATGAAATGAAATGAAAATCATAATTGTAGCATATAGTACACAGCAATGAACTTGACTTCTTTTGAAATAAAGAGCATAAAATCAGAAGATGTTTGTAAGAGGCACAAATCTTATGCATGTCTAGGGAGTTAAACCCTGTCCTATATTATAAAAATAAAATGCGAACTATTGCAAACTGTCTTCTGGTTTGTGACGTTTTGAACTGTGGCCGACTTCCTCTTCCATTGACTTCAGTTTGTTCTTTATTGCAGCTATTTTGGCACCACGACTCATCCGTGTTGATGATGAACCTCCAGAGAGGTAAGATTTGGCTGTCACGCCTACTGCTTTGGAAGGATTTTCTGCACCTTCCATCAATAACTTTTCACTGGCAAGCCGGATGCTCAATGGGCGCCCACAAACCAACTTTGCATGCATCTTTTCCTTGGCAAGTTGAGCTTCCTGCATGCTCACTTTTAACGTACAAATCAGGGGACTATAATGGGAACTTGCTTGAACCAAATACAAACTTCACAAAAGACAACTAATACAAGATCACAAAAGCATTCAAACCCGGTCAAATGTTTCAGACCAGACCAGGTCTAAAAAATCCGGGTTAGATAAAAAAAAACTCAGGCAAAGTTAATGAGTAGATTTATGGAGACTCATATGACTCCATAAAAGAGTCATATGGGTCTTTAAAGTTTTTGCAAAAATAACTACTCCTTAGACCTCAACAATTCCTGAGCCTTTTTTGTTGCTCAATTTGGTTCTCAACTTTTTTGGTACTCAATTTGGTCCTTGACTATGCAACTATGCCCCCGATTTAGTCCCCACTCAGTAAATTTAGTCTCAAATTAGTCCTCATACACAATTGGCTTTAAGTAAGAAGGGTACTTTTGTCCATTCACTAAGCTTAGAATACCGCTTAGATGCATTTTAGGACTCAATTTGGTACTTGACCATGTTATTTAAACATAGTTTAGTTTTGAGTGTTCAAAGTTTCCTTAATTAGAGAAAAAAAATGCAAGAAGACTAAAGTGTGTCTAAAATTTTAAATGGTAATTTAACCATGCAATGATCAAATCAAATACAAGGAAATTTATGAGGAACAAGTAGAGTAATAATGTAAAACAGTATAAGGACTAAATCTGATATTAACTTTTGACACATCACAAATTGCGCAACGTACCTCTTTGGTACTGAATTGGACAAATGCATAACCCCGTGGCTCCCCACGTTTAGGCCCACGGGTATGCCATAGAAAGTCTTCAGAAATTATCTTTCCAAATGGTGAAAACATTTTAATTAAGGCTGCCCTGGCACCCCAAAGAGGTAACCACTTCAATTCAGTATTATATAAAGTTTTCGTAATTACTTGTGGTTTTGAGGACTAAAAAGTAGAGACATCCTTACTCTGAAATCCTAAGATCCAGGTTGCCAACATAGAGCCTGCTTTCAGACTTCTCATCAGCAGTTCTGTTAGTATCCTGAGATTAGGCATGGAAAACAAGCCAATTAGGATTTGGCGACTTGCTCAAACTTACAATCACAAATAACGACTTAAAGGTATCGTCACATAGACCCAAAGGAATATTTAATTTAACCTTAAACAAGAATCTAACAAATAATCTTTACTATTCAGTTTTTATCTAGTGGTTCTTCCATACAAAGGTGAATGATCCATTCAATGACAGCAAATGGACCAGTTCGACAAGAGTGAAGCTCAACTGCTCCACTTGAGGTTTTGAACCAAACACTCATAAAGAACCTAGAAATAGCTTTTCTTACAGTATACAATTACACAAAAAACATCAAATCAGGGAGGGCTCAAGATCACCAAATGAGAGACACTTGATTTCTCATGCTTAGCATTCAACCATCTACCACTGAAGGCTAACTCTCTAAAACCAAGTACCACTGAATGGGGGGTGGTGGGGGTATAGCATGAAGAAACACCTCAATTATTGCTATAGGGTTGAGATGGGAAAAAGCAACATACGAGCCCATCAAACGGTAAGAGAAGGAACTGACCATGGAATACAAGATGCCTGAAGACTTCTGGAGCTCGGATTGACAAACTAATCCAATTCTGACTGTCCTCTAAACCCAGGCCAAGTAATGAATAACTGCAAAGTACTTCCTCACTTTTATATGCCTAGCCTGAACGTTCACTATCTCGAAATCTTGACCGCATTTCCCGCTTAACGTGTCAAGAACAAACAAATTCTTCTTCAACACAACAAAAAAGTCCATATAAAATACGGCATAGCGGCTGCAATTTTGTACGTAAATTAGTTATCAAAAACAACTTTTAGTTTCAAATACGAACCATACTACTGAATAGCTAGAGTTTCCAATAGACTGAAACAGTAAAAGTTACACAAAAAGAAGTCTGGAAAGAGTCATGCAGAATAAACGAAACCCTAAATTTCAACGGTTCTGTGAGCACGAAAGTTAATTAGAAACCAGTAAATTGAATCTTTGGATAAAAAACGGCTGGTTCTAAAATCGAAATCTCACCGAGTCTTGATCGAGTATAATTATAGTAGATGGCTAGCACAGGCGCACAGCAGAGCAAGTACAGGAGCGAGCGGAAAACGAGGAGTAGAGGGGGGTGGGGTGAAACCGGTGATTTTCGGTGACCGAACCTGGGAGAGATCGTGGATACGACTTTCTTTGGTCCCGAAGTTGTATTATTCTATGTTTAAAAACCGGAAAAATTGTCAAATAGGTACTCGAACTTCCATAAAAAAGTCAATTAAGTCCTTCTATAGGAGACTCTGTCCGGTCGTCGCGATTTGGGTCGGTTCCCGGTAGAATTTTTTCATGAAATTTTTTAAGCATCTTATTCATCAAGTCTAGTTTACTCATACCAAATTTCAGCTAAAAATTCAATTGAGAACACATTCAAATTAATTCTTGAAGATAACTGCGCATTTTTGCGTTCTCGAATTAATTTGAATGCGCTCCCGATTAATTTTTTAGCTGAAATTTGGTATGAGTAAACTAGACTTGATGAATAAGATGCTCGAAAAAATTCATCAAAAAATTCCACCGGGAACTGCCCCAAATCGCGACGGCCGGACAGAATCTCCTATAGAAGGACTTAATTGACCTTTTTATGAAAGTTCGAGGACCTATTTGACAGTTTTCCCTTTAAAAACCGGACCGAAGAGCGACCCGGAGAGCGACCCCGAGCGATGACCGGGTCAAGGGTCAACCCCGACCCGGCAGGTCAACCCGGTCAACGACCGGAAAACCCGGTCAACACACATATATAATACTAGTATTTAATTATGTATACATATATTGATATATAGGAAGTGGCTCTAATGAGAACACTTCTTATTGTGACTTGTAAGAAATATAAACAAATCTTAATAATAGATCTTAATAAATTAACGGTCAAAAGAGGAGTAGGTGCACAGATGTACAATGGGAGTGCAAACACCTTTAAAAAACCATGCTCTCTTATCTGATCATATCATCATACGTAGGTTTACATGGGCACAATGGTAATTTTAAAAAGTATCCATACGGTTCAAAGTTGTCATTTCCCTAAAAAGTAGGTAATAATAAATCTCAAATCATATGAAATTTCTTTAGTTTAAAAATTGATTTAACTTCTTAAATAATAATGCGATTTTAACAAAAATTATACCAAATTAAATAACTTTTTATGCTCTTTCATATGACATCAATATGTCATATATAATTTTTAAAAATAAAATCTGTATAAGATTTATACAATAAAGAACAACAAACATCTCCAACTACTGGATGCATAAGAACATGTATCTAACACACAATCTCCGATATCTAATACATATGAGATGGTCTCGTACTCAATAATCTACCTCTATATGAAAAGAGGTGGAAAATCAGGCAGTTTTCCCGCCCAAATGTTTGGCCTGCAGTGGGTTAGGTTATGTATTTGGATCGGGTTAGGTGTTTGGGTCGGGTTCACAGGGTCCAAGAAATGAGATGGTGTGTATCAGCTAACATTTTACGTTAAAGTGGCTAAAAAACTTTGAGGGCAAAGACTTTTGTTACTTTATGTCTTCAATTTATGTCTTAAATTGAAGATGCATTAAATTCGGTTGACTTTTATTTCTATCATTGCTCACAATTTTGAATTAGTACTCTTGAGTGGTTAGGAGTTAATCCGAAAACAGATTGTCAATCAATGAGATTGGTTCAGCCAGTTTAGATTCCTAGGTAACATTAAATGCAACATTGATCTTCAGAATGCTAGCACGAGAAGCAAGAATCTGAAGTTTGACTACACATCATTTTTAGTTCCAAAGTACACCACTTTTAAGGTAGGTGAGAGGTTTACTAAAAAAAAATACAATTAATGGAGTGGTGCATAGGTATTCATAGATTGAGGAGTAGTGCAAAATACTCTAAAATTCAAAAGTTTGAATAGTAACAGACCTCACACTTCAGATCACATTTCAAATGCCATTGGGCCACTAAGTTACCCTATAAATAGGACCCTCCTCCCAGCCATTCTCCCAACACACTCTCAGCAACAAATAATTCCCAAACTTCTCAGTTCTGCTATGGCTGGCTCTAAGCAAGCAGGAATGTGGTCTCTCATAAGTGAGATTGACCACACGAAAACCAGTTGGGCATTGCAAGTTCGAGTGGTTAGGGTATACGGAGTAGCTGCTCACGCAAGGGGAGGGAACACTCTTGAAATGGTGCTACATGATGAGGAGATATATTTTGCTTGATGTGTATTTTGAATATACATTGGTTTTCCCAGATTTGTTTTGAAAACTAACTTAGAGTGTTAGACCACTTTTGTAGGGAACCAGGATCCATGCTATTGTCAAATGGCCTCAGGTTGCGGGCAACCCTGTGTTCAATGCCACATCATCTACTCATAGTCCCATACAGACAATAGTTAATATCAACTGGTATACAGAGCCTAGCTCTAAATACTAGTTTTAGAAAATGATTAGTATTCATATAGATTAGTATATTGTATATAGATATATGTATGACAGCTTGATTTTAAAGAGAAATGCGGTTTCAAATCACAGTATTTAAGATGCATTAGCATTGTTTAAAAATCAGAATTAGTTTGAACCCATATTGTTTAAAAAATAATCCAAACTATTACACAAATAGGTATTCAGATAGGTATACATACGTTGGAAAATATGTATGACACATAGGTATATCAATTGTAAAACAGATTGTAGATTTATCAAAAACAGTTTAATAATAGGGTTTTATAAAGGTGTGACAGATTGGTTTTGTTTCAAGTCAGTACTACAGGACATAATCAAAATAGTTAGAATAACTTAGGAATATATTAATTTGATGAGTATTTAAGATGTATGTAGTATAGTTTGAAAATCACATTTAGTTTGAACCCATATTGTTTAAAAAATGATCAAATCTGCTACACAAATAAGTATTCAAATAGGTATGTAGACATTAAAATATATCTATGGCACATAGGTATATTAGTTGAAAAAACAGATTGTTGATTTATCCAAAAAAGTTTAATCTTAGGGTTTTGTAGATGTGTGACAACTTGGGTTTGTTTCAAATCAGTACTACATGACATATTCAAAAAATTAGAATAACTTAGGAATATATCAATTTGCGTATTTAAGATGTATGTAACATAGTTTAAAAATCAGATTTAATAAGTATATACATGTTTCTAAAATCTTATAAATGTCAATGAGGGTTATACCCTTTTGGGAATAAAAAAAATTGTTGGTGTAATAGTATAGCGTACTTTAATTGTAGGGGGTGCTTAATTGTTTGTTCCTTTTTTGAATGGGCTTAGATCTCCGTTAAGGAACCTAGTTTGCCGCCTGGTTTAGACGTTTAGTGTTCCTCATCCCGTAATGGCGTCACCAGCGCAACTCACCCTCTTCGCGTTTGCTTTCGATCTTTTGCCACCGGATGAGCCAATGCCATCTGCGAACCCCGGCTCCTTCCTTGTGATTTGGAATTGCGGAATTGGAACAAGACGACGAAGAATCACAGAGGAAATCCCGGTTTTGAAGTCCCTCTGCTTTGCGCTTCCTCTCGCTATCTGCTCTTCGGAGTCTTATCTTGTTCGCGCATAATTGATCAACCGGCTCTTCGCTTGAATCGCAGATTCGGTCAACCGGCTATTCTTTAAGTGATTCAGCCACCTCCGCTCGACTACTCCCAAAATACAAAATCCTCTCACTCTTCTACACATCAGGTTTGTTAACTTAGTGTGAATATTTTGTTAAGATGAATCGAAATATGGAATAATGATATGGGAAGGAGAAATCTATTTAATTGATAATAGATTTATCATTCGGATTTCAGAATTTCAGATTGAATAATTGATCACAATAGACTATTATTGTTAGTCTATGAGATTAACTGATTATAAATTTTCAAAATTGTATTATGATTGTTTGTTAATAATAGATTATGATTCAGAATTTCAGTTTTTTTATAGTTAATATCAGTTTCAAATTATATACAAAATTCAGATTTTCGGGTTCAATCAATTTGGTTATTGTTATTCTTCACATTTAAGCTCCAAACCTGAGATTGTTACTAATTTTTGAACTCTTAACAGTTACATAGTTCTGAATTTTGTGAGGTTTTGGTTTATCTATAATCATGGTAATGTGTGAAATCAGGCTCATAGTTAGTGGCTTATAGATTGAACCAAACTCAAGCTATAGTGGATGGATTTGAGGATATTTGAGCGAAGTTTTGTAGTCCTTTAAACATGCGATAATGCTGGAAACATTGAGGTGGTTAATGGTAATAATGATATTAACCAACCTTTTCTTTTCTTTTCAGATGATGCAGGAGACATATAGTTCAAGGATATTTTTTTATATATGCTATGCCCGATTGCTTCCCTTCGATCTCCTCATAGGCGTCCTTTGTCTGGCACAAGTAAATTGATATATTTGTTATAGTGATTGCAATAAAAAAAACCTTAATAATTCGTGCTAAACCTTGTTCGTTTGCATCTGCTATTAGGCACCACTCATGGATATTCAAGCACAACAGGAGTTCTAAGCTTTACCCAATTGAGATTCCAGATATTTTTCCAATGTTCGCGGCATGAAATTAACCAATTTGCAGTCCTCCTTTCATGTAAGTACTCAATCTATTTTTTTCCATCTTTTACTATTTCAGTTAAAGTGATTTTTTCATTATCTCAAACCTGTCATGAATTGGGTTTTAAGGCTGAGATATTTCCATCTTCTCCATTATTGGTTCAGTTATTAATCCATTTGATCTACCCTCATATTTCCAAATGCTGTTTGCGGGTGTTTGCTAGCATACATTTGGGTATCCAATACAGTCGTATAATCAATGGCGTGAATTGTACCTTTACCAGCATATTTAAGTTTTTAAATGTACTTTAGCATTTAAAATGCCTAATTTTAAACTTTAGAGTTTAAAATGCTTAAAGGTCTGTTCAATTATGTAGAAGAAATGAGATTCTAAATTTTAAATATAAAACTTATCAAAATAGTAATATAGTAATGGATGTATGAATGTAGTCCCTGACCCTCACCATTTCTTTTAAAGTAGTACTTCAAGTTTGTTTATTTTCTTTTAGTTCAGTTGAATAGCTGGTAATTTAAAAAATAATATATGTGAACATGCATGAGTGACTAAGCAGTTTTATAAGGAATTTAGGGTG